TTACCAAAAAGGATGAATGGAAAGAATCTGGGCCTTTGTCAAAAAGACAAAGGTTCAGTTATAGGCTCTACCACTTAGAGCCATGACACAGAGGCAAAATTATTCACTAACTCTAGGCTTCAAATATTCTCAAATTTAAGTGTGTAAATTTATACCTTATATACAAGACTGTTGCATGAATTACACACAAACACACACACACATACACTGCCTGATACATAGTAGGTTTCAATACGTGGTAGATATTAGTTATTTAGTCAATAAATATCATGTCCTAAAGGGTAATATGTTCTATATTACTTACTGCTTATTAATATACTCAAATAATGACTTATTCTCTGCTATGTCTCATAGTTTCTCAAACCTAAGCAATGCATACTTGAGATTCTTCCCACTTCCATGTTTTGTATAATCCCTATCTGTAAGTAATTTTTGTAGGGTTTTCTTTAACCTTGCTTTTGTTCATTTCCTTTCTACCTTTGTTTGACATAAAAGAGGGCTTTACCTTCAGTATATATTGACCAGGTCATTCATTTTGGCCAAAAAAAAGGTATAATATAGATATACTGTTGCATAATCATTCAATTAAACTAGACATACAGTCTAGTTTAACTAAACTATATGTCTAGTTTAATCAACTCTACTACCAGACAGATGTCTTATTCTTTTGTATTGCCCACACCAGCTAACTCATTGCTGAGCACTTCCCTCAAAAAATATTTAAGTAAATAAATTAAATCCCATTTCACCAAGTGTAGTTGATTATTGGAAATCTTGGGTATTAACAAAAATTAATGAAATAAAGATGGTCTGAGGTTTCTCCCCATAAGAAGAAGTTCATTTCTTACTGAAATACAGCAACACTCAACGTTCTCCTATTATATAACCACCAAGGATTTTTCAGATGGTATCTAATTGCTCTTTTGTTATACTTCCGTTATAATTTGCAACTGTACAGATTAGTTGGCAATTTAGTACATTGCTGTTTGTTAGATATTTATTAGACTAGGACACTGCTCAAAATCAATCATTACAAATTAAAATACTAAAAATTATTTTAAGGGAGTATAATTTTGTTGAATAAAAAACATTAACAAGTTTAAACACAGGCAGTATTCAGTACTAGATGAGTGGTATCTGATTACTATCAGATGCAACAATAAAACTAGTTATTTCTTCAGTGATAAAAAAAACCTGATACTAGGAATAAGTAAAACAAATCACTAAGCATAGAATTTTTAAAAACACTGATATTTGCATTAATGGGCATAATGTATGATAATTTTACAGTCTAAATTTCATTATTCTAATGCTAAGATAGAAAACATGAAGATGGTTATTTCCAAAGTAATTGAGAAAAATGAAATTTACCAATAAAATACATTTAAAGTTTGATTTAATATAATTCCACATGCTGAATTTAACTAGATTATCTCTAAGTAAGCTAAAATTTAAAAGGGCAAGTTAATAAATTCTTTTAAAAAGTCTATTAAAATGCATTGTAGAATTAAAGGGTAAGATTATAAAGAAAAAATAGCACTTTGTCAAAAGCAACTCAATGAAAAAACATACATTTAATTTTGATAAAAATTTCGATATTTTTCTCAAGGTGAGTTAAGTTGAAAATAATATAATTCATTAATTGAAGAAAAATGAACTTCACATTGAATTAAGAAAGGGATAATTTCACTACACTACATTCAGGCCATAATTACAGAATTAAATATAAAATGGAGACATTCTTCTCCACATTCTTGTTACATGGCAATTTTATTTTTAACCAAGCTTATAGCTTATAGCTCATCATACCATAAAATACTACTGAATATCAGGAAATAATATTAAAATATGGTTACTAATAAGTAGTAGGGAAAAACTTCCAAGAGGTTTTTTTGTTGTTGTTGTTGTTTATGAAAAGCCCATGTTAGAGCATCTTTCCTTATATTGTAAGGTAATTTATAAAACTAAAGCTCCACTTCAGTAGAATTATTTTTGCATCACAAGGAAAAGGACTAGATTAATAAAACAAGGGTGTCAATGAACTTGATTGTTAAAGACAACTCAAGGAGCATGTAGAGAAGCTTTCCATAAATTTTCACAGGGCAGGGGGACTAAGGGACAACACCAAAAGAGCCCACTGCAGGAACAGATCTTGGTTTTATTTGGCTCTGCCTTTCATTAGCAGTGACACTTGGACAGACAATTCAGTTAACTTTCCAAGTTTCAGTATCTTCCTCTTATGTCAAGTCCACTTAGATTCTTGAGTTTTAAAACACCAAAATCCTACGATATCTACAAAGTGAGGAAGGACGAAAAACAGCCTTGGGTTTTACTTTTTTAAAAATAATGGTAGAAAGGGGCACGGGTTAGCTCAGTCAGTTAAGCGTCTGCCTTCAGGTCATGGTCCCAGGGTCCTGGGATCCAGCCCCACGTCGGGCTCCCTGCTGGGCGGGAAGCCTGCTTCTCCCTCTCCCACTCCCCCTGCTTGTGTTCCCTCTTGCTGTCTCTCTCTCTCAAATAAATAAATAAATCTTAAAAAAAAAAAATTATTTGTACCTTGCAATGTAGTATTTCCAGAACTGAATTACTAAATTTTTGAAGCCTATACAGCTAGGGTTGTATCAGCGAAGATCTAGATACAGTATTCACAATGTAACTCTCTCCTCTCCCATTATCCCTCCACCTGCTCCTCCCCATCCTGCTTCATTCTTTCTTCCGCTTGTTTTAACGCCAGCAAACGGTTGTAAGCACTGAAAGCTTAAGATGAAATCATTTTAAAAGATGCATTTTGAATCAACGATCATCTGCCCCACCACATTTCTCCCAAATGAGTTAATTTTCATTAAGAGAATGGAAGTATGAATAAACAAAATCAGAAACAGAAATGTACTGGGCCTGTTTTTTGTTTTGACTGCTCAAAAAACAAAACTGAAAGATGTGGCCTCATCTATTCCCTTAGGAACGCGAACGCGTTACCCACCCAATGAAAAAACAATTCTGCTGGTTCATTTCCCTGCTACACAACAGCCTCGCCGTCGGGCTCTTTCTAAGTCCAGTCTTCATCGCCATCTAGTAATTTCCTATCGATGATCACCTTGGCAATGCTTGGACAGACACCGTCCCTGTCTTCAGGGGCTTACATTCTTCAAATAAATCCCCCAAGCCCTACTAAACACGACCCCCCCCCCAAAAAAACCCCAGAAATTCCATAACTTAGGACACGAATCCCACGTCTTCCCGCCCTGTGTCAGGCATAAAACGAAGGGAAGCATACCAAAACCCCGCATTTGAATCTTAGGACAATGAAGCCGACAGGAAGCCGCTGTCTCCTCCCCGGGGTTTACTACGGAGCCAGAGCCAGCGCGGGTGCAGTCGCCTGGCAGGGTGCGTGACACCACGTCTTCCACGCCCTCCAACCGCGTCCAGAGGGCGCCTGACCTCACCTCCTCCAAACCGCCCCACATCCCCAACCAACCTAACAAAAAGGCCCCGCACTGTTAGCTGCTCGGATCGGGGAAAAATCCCTTCCCCAGCGGCAACGCAGCCATTCCCTCCAGTGCTCCGCCCGCACCCCTAGCAAGCTGCTACGGCGCAGGGGGGAGGGCTGCACAAAGCCGAGAGAGGGCTGAAATGATTCAAGACCTTCTCGGGAAGAGGCGGCGGCCACCGGCCCGGAGGGACAGCGGGTGGAGCTGGGGGCAGGGTGGGGGAGGGGAGGGGCGGCCCCGACGAGCCCCGGGTCGGGTGCCGGCGGCGGGGGGAGTGGGGGGGGGGAGGAGGTGGCGGCGCCGCGCGGAGCAGCGGGGAAGCGCCCCCTTCGCCGCCCGGCCCAGCACCCCGGCCGCCCCCGGCCGCGCCCCGAGCCCCCGCTGCAAACCCAGGAGGATGTGGGGAAGTAGCGGCGGCGGCAGGGACAGCGCCTACCCGAGCAGCTGAGCGCATCACTTACCCCTCACCGCTGAGAGAGGGACCGGACGGGGGAGGCGGGGCGCGTCGCGTCCCGTGAGTCTCTCGCACGCCGTCCTACCCCCACCCAGTCGTCCTCGTCGGCGCTGTCGTCGTCGCTGCCGCTACGGTCGAGCTCCCGGCCCCGAGCTCCGCTAGGCAATAACGTTATTCCACACACGCCCCGCACATAGCGGTAACGGCAAAAAGCGGCCGCCCAGTGCGCAGGCGCCTGAGAAAAAGGCGAGGAACCCGGCCCTATCCCCTCCGCCGGCCCAGTCCCAACGATCTCTTACTGCGCAGGCGCCAAACGCAGACAATGAAAAGGGGCTGTGCGGAGGGTCTCACCCAAAGCCTTCGCCAGCTGCCTATTGCGCAGGCGTGCTCCAAAGACTAGCTTGAACAATGAGGAGGACTCTGGCGTTAGCCGGGACCGCAACTAAAAAGGACTACAGTTCCCAGAGGGCAGTGCGCCAACTCCAAGCGGAGGTCTGGTTGCTGGGCATGCTAGGATTTGTAGTGTCGGATGCCTTCAAAACCTTGGCTGTTTGGGAGATTTAAAGCTTCTTTTTCTTGAGAATTTATTTGGGCATTTTGGCAAGTGTCGCGGCTGAAGGGTGGAGAACTTGTTATTTGTGTCCTTGAGAAGACTCAAGGACCAACCGCAAACTACCAAACTTAGGAGAGTCAAGGCCTTCAGTGAGCTCTTTTTGTCGGTTGGATGGTCCAAACAGCAGGATGGGATAAAGGCAGGACTGAGCCAGCCTGAGCTACAGAAAAAGGGCGGAGCCTCCAAACAGTCTCTTGGCAACCGGATCTGGCCGCCAAACCGCCAAAGCTTGTGGCGCGATGTCCTCTGGGAATTGTAGTATAGTTGGAAGGGCCTTTTAGGAATCTCGTGACTGCAGGCCCGCAGCCTGCGGACTACAACTCCCGACGTGCAGCATGAGGGCCACTGGGTGGGAAGGGCCCCGCGCGAGCTCCGTCCGGGGTTCCACGCTCCCCAATGACTGCAGCGGCTGGAAGCAGGCGGGTGCTTCTCCGGCGCCAAGGCCTCCTGTTCTCCGAAGGGCGACACTGGACACTTTCCCACGTGACTCCCATCTCTGGGCCCCGGCTCTGTGCATGGCGAAGTCCCCGGAGAACTCTACCCTGGAGGAGATTCTGGGGCAGTATCAACGGAGTCTCCGGGGTGAGTTGCACCGAAGCTGTGCGCCCTAGCCCCTGGATACCAGGGCCTAGTGGGCAGGAGCTGACCAGGGGCGTTTCCTTGGTTCGGCCCCAGCCAGGACACAGAGGAAGAAGATGGATGGTGCTGTGATCTTTGAGCAAGATGAAATAGTTTGTGTTTGTATTTACGGTTAAGCAGAGTTGTTTCCCTTGATTCCCGTGGTTACCTGAACCAACTCCCTGAGCTTGACTTAGGCATCTTTCTGACCCACGGCCAGCAGAAACTCTTGGGTGGCTCTAGTCCTCTCTTGCCCACTTCCCATAATTTGCTCTTTAATCCAGTAGATTCCTGATTCACGCTTTTTACACATTCAGATAGTGGTGTGATGGGCTGAAGATTTATCGGACCAGGAAAAAGAAAATACTAATTATTTAATCACAAAAGCTTCCATTTAGTGGCCTAGGCTATTTACATACATCAAATCATTTAAAATTATAGCAACGTTATGAATATCCCTCTTTTACACATGGAGAAATCAAGGTGCAAAGAGGTTGAGTCCACACAGCTGGTTAGTGGCAGAACCAGGTATTAAATTTAGTTAGGACTGACTGCCTTAAAAGCCTATTTTTTTCTTCACGAATCATGTCACAGTTATTATTACTGAAACCTCATTTGGTTAATTCAGATTTTTTTAGTGTGGTTCCCTATCAGTGAGACTTTAGAGAAGTGATGTTTGTACTTATAGATAGTTCTGTCATCTTGGACATCATACATACTATCTTGGAAATCTCAGTACTGTTATTTTAAAGAGGAAGTTGTGGTATTGTCTACAGGGTTATTGTGAGGAGCAAATGAAATAATCCACATAAAGCAGTGATTTTCAGCCTTTTTTTTTTTTTTTTTTTTTTTACTGTTACCCATTGGTAAATACATTTTATATGGGACATAGAAAAGTTTCGTTGGAGAATATTCTACTAAATAATACACTCTATTCTTTTGCATTTTCTTAACCCTCTAGATCATAACCAACAGTTTTATTTTTTTTTAAGGATTTTGTTTATTTATTTGAGAGAGAGAGAGAGCGTGCGAGCATGAGCAGGGGTAGGGGCAGAGGGAGAGGGAGAAGCAGACTCTCCGCTGAGCAAGGAGCCCGACGCAGAACTCGATCCCAGTACCCAGGGATCATGACCTGAGCCACCCAGGCACCCATGACCAACAGTTTTAAAAAATCATTTAAAGTGTTTAGAACAGGGGTGCCTGGGTGGCTCAGTCAGTTAAGCGTCTGTCTTTGGCTCAGGTCATGATCCTGGGGTCCTGGGATCGAGCCCCACATGGGGCTCTCTGCTCAGTGGGGAGCCTGCTTCTTTCTCTCCCTCTGCCTGCCACTCCCCCTGCTTGTGCTTTCTCTCTCTCTAATAAATAAATAAAATCTTTTAAAAATAAATGTTTAGAACAATGAGTCATTTAAAAATGTCGCCTACTATGTGTAAGGCGTGCTAGGTGCTGGGGATACAATAAAGTAGACAGAGTCCCTGTGACCATGGAGCCTCTGGATTAGTGGGGGAGAAAGAAAATAAACAAAATAATTACAGATTACTATGATAGAGAATAAGGGTAAAGATCAGTGCTTGGCACATAAGCACTCTGTAAATGTTAGCTGTTATTTATAATTGGTACTTGCAGCAAAGTGAAGATTTTTCGAGGAGATTAGAAAGTTTATCTTCTAGTGACTCTAGATTTTGAAAGCGTTATTATGTATTGTTTCCATCTGTCAACAGTGTTATAAACTGTCAACATTCTCAGTACTCAAACTGCAAGAGTAAAGTAATTGGTCTTGATGAATATTTTCATCAGCCTACTGATGTTTCAAGAGCTGTTAGATACAGAAATAACCACTTCTGACTTTTCATTTGAAAGCAAGACGTGCGCTGTGCACAATGATAATGAGTGATTTTTGGAGGCTGGTAAAAATTTGTTTTCCGTTACAAGTTTCTGCAAATACTTCGCCTCCTTTTACCTTATTTTGAAACTTATGTAAGCAGTGGGAGCTTAATATTGGGCTTTTTAATGCAATAAGGTGGTTAATTTCAAACAAGTGCTGCTTTTCAGTAATTTATATAGAGAGTGGAGAGTTTTTATTCACAGATATATTTTAAAATAAATTTTAAGTTTAGTGTGACAACCATATAAGATAGTAAAAACATAATCAAAAGCAAACATGAAGCAGAGAAAAAAGTTAACTTTTTTTTTTTTTTTTAAGTGATGGCTTTAACAATGAATCAGGAAATGGAACCTGTCATTTTGTGGGTTTTCAGGACCTATTTTATTATTTATTTAGTAGCATCTTAACTTTTATGTTTACTTAGTTTATATAACAGCTTATGGAAGGAAACAGCTAATCCTGAGTTAAAGCACAATCAGAAGGTCTTTGCTTCACACATATACATTAGCCCTTTTGAATAGGGTAATTCCCTTTGAAGTCAAAATTTGTGTTTCTGAATAAACAAAGTATGGTGGCATTATTTTACATGTGGAACTTCATTATTTTAAGTGCTTGTGCCTAATGTCTTGAGAATTGTGTTACTATACAATCAGATAAAATGTAATTTGAAATTCTTTTGTTTTATCTTGTTTTGGTTTTGTTGCTTTGTTTGGTTTTGTCTATCTGCCATTACTTCCCCAAAATATTTTGCCTAGTTCATGTTTCAACAAAGGCTAATAAGTATTCTTGGTCTTTCCTCACATGTTACTCCTCTGGTTCCTAAATAACTGTACGTGTAATTATTATTAATATCCCTTCATTTATATTCAGCCAGGAAGTAGCCACATAAAAATGCAAAATGCTTTCACAGTTTTCTATGCTAATTCCTCATTTTTATAGCTTTTCCTCATTACTTTAAATGTAATTTTAAGTACTGTTATAGTATATTAAGAATTTCAAGGGTTTTTTTTCTTAGATTTTATTTTATTTATTTGTAAGAGAGAGAGAGAGTGAGTGCACAAGCAGGGGGAGCGCCAGGGAGCAAGGATCCTGATGTGGGACTTAATCCCAGGATCCCAGGATCAGGGCCTGAGCTGAAGGCAGACACTTAACCAACAGAGCCATCCAGGTGTCCCAAGAATTTGAAGTTCTGATTTGAAAGGCAGAGTCAAAGCTGCTTTCTTTTATTTTTATTTTTTAAAGATTTATTTATTTGAGAGGTTGAGGAGGAGCAGAGGGAGAGGGGCAGAGAGAATCTCAAGCATACTCTGTGCTGAGTGCAGAGGCCAACAAGGGGCTCGATCTCACTACCCTGAGATCATGACCTGAGCTGAAACCAAGAGGTGGAGGCTTAACCAACTGCACCACCCAGGCGCCCGTGCTTTCTTTCTTTTAAAACCTGAGTGGAATTCTTGTCTCTCCTTGACTCGTGATCCTAGAGCAGCCATGGAAAGAGGGAGCTCATTGGCATACTTTGCACTCCCCTCTTATCCTTTCCTTCCTTACACTTTCCAGATGTATTCACTCTTTATCCCCTCTAAGGGTATCTCTTGTTTTGAATTGTTTGTGCCCTCATTGTAAGAAATTAGAGAGATTTCGTGACTCTCCTTCAGAGTAAGCAGTCTGACAGAAAAATGAGAAGGCTTCATTGCCCCACAGATCTATAATATTATTGCTTCACAGTAGATGATCTGAAAGATTCCAGTGTGGGGAAAACAGGTACCCTGGGAATCACGGAGTTGAATCTAGAAGTGGAAGTGACTTGGGAGGTCTCCTGGCAGGATGGCTAGGTGTTCATTGTCTTTATAGTGAATGTAGGCAGCTAGCAGTCAAGACCCACAGAATGGTTGAGAACTCTATTGGGAACTGGGGAGAGTAGCACATACCCCTCCTCTCATTTAAATCCAACACATCATTGTACAAAGGCCACGAGGTATAAAATGAACTAGTATGCAGCCAAGAAAGGGTCAGAAAAACCAATGTAACAGGGAATCCAGGCTGTTTTAAGTTCTGTGCCCTGAATGTAGGAATATGATAATATAAAGGAGAGAACTTGTTGGAAAAGTAGTGTCCCATTCTTAACAGAATCATGTCTAGTTTATTGCTGCAGGTGTTAGCTATAGGTTCAGTTGTATCAACAACACTGTGTATGTGACTCGTCTATTCACCTAGGTCCTAACCACCTTTGGAGGGGGGGGCATAAAGAAATATGGAACAAACATAGACTGTGACAAGAATACATCATTATTTTCCATATGCATTTTGTATGTAGTTCCTCTTTTTCTTTCAACATTTTGGTATTCTGGGCTCTAGATCGAATTTGCGTTAAGAGTATGGTGGAGTCAGAGTGGAGAATGTGGAACTAGGAGCCAGGCCACTAAAATTTGACTGTAGCTTTACTGATAACCATCCGTGTCACCTTAGGCAAGTCAGTAAACTGTTCTTAGATTCTTGTTCCCTTGTCTGTAAAAGGAAAAGTTTGGAGGAGGTGACAGAATTACTGCCTTTAGGACCCAAGCAGGTGACAAAATCTGTGATGGAGTCTATGGAAGACACTAGGGAATGGTAAGGCCTATGGCCAAACTGGGCAGTTTATGCTTTCTTTAAAAACATTCCAATTTTGGGGCACCTGGGTGGCTCAGTCGTTAAGCGTCTGCCTTCAGTTCAGGTCATGATCCCAGGGTCCTGGGATCGAGCCCCACATCGGGCTCCTTGCTCAGCGGGAAGCCTGCTTCTCCCTCTCCCACTTCCCCTGCTTGTGTTCCCTCTCTCGCTGTCTCTCTCTCTGTCAAAAAACAAATAAAATCTTTAAAAAAAAAAAATTCCAATTTCTGGGGTACCTGGGTGGCTCAGTCAGTTAAGTGTCCAACTGTTGGTTTCGGCTCAGGTCATGATCTCAGGGGTATGAGATTGAGCCCTGTGTTGGGCTCCACGCTCAGCTCAGAGTCTGCTTGAGATCCTCTCTCTCCCTCTCCCTGTGCCCCCTCCACTCACACACATTTTCTCTCTCTCTCAAATAAACAAATAAAATCTTTAAAAA